ATTGCTAAACTCTGCCAATTTGGCAAGACTATTTGTATAAAAGCTTTTATAGTAATATTGGAAATGTCTAAGGTTAATTTTACAAGTTTGGAAATGTAAAAATCGTTTCTGCTTTATCGTCGGCTTAGAGTGTAAACCTGCTAAATCCGTTTTTTGGCAAAATTGACCTTTTGATGCAGTTCGAAGGAGTAGGCGATTCCGCAGTTGGCAAGCAAAAAAATACGTCAATATAAAAATATAATTGTCAAAAATTGTTTGATGAGTAAAGCTGCTAAGTACAATCAGTTCAAATTCAACTGCTAAATCCAACATATTGTGCTTCTGTCGCTCGATTTTGTTCTATCTTAGAGTATTACTTTATGCGTTTAAGCCAAGGTAATAGCCAGCGAATAAGCTTTAATTTTTTATATCTCAAGGAAATTATTGTTACTTGTGGAACGAAAAAGAAGGAAGATTAAATGCAGAAGAGTTTTCCAGCGTGTGGGTAGATTTGATAGAAAAAAATGTAGTACCAAATAATAGTTCCGGGGAGCAAATTACAGTAATTTTTTATAGCGACGAATGCACATATCAAAACCGAAACAGTATTATGGCTAATGCTTTGTTATCCACAGCTATAAATAACAATATCATTATTGAGAAAAAGTTTCTTGAAGTAGGCCATACCCAAATGGAAGCTGATTGTATCCATACCACTATCGAACGAGCATTTAAGAAAAGAGATATCCATGTTCCTGCAGAATACATTGAAGTATGTAGATCAGCTAGAAAAAATCCAAAGCCATATGACGTAACTTATCTTAGTTACACGTTCTTTAAAAGCTTTAACACAGTTCAATTCTTTAATAGCATTCGTCCCGGTCGCGGCAAAGATGCTGCTAAAGTAACTGATATAGGAGCCCTACGGTCTACACCAAGTGGCGGCATTCATTTCAAACTAAGATTCTCCAACGAATGGGAAGTAATACCGCAAAGAAAATCCCTAGTAGCTGTTTCCTTGCCGTTTTCTCACCTTCCGAATTTATACGAGAGTAGGCGTACGATTGCTCGCAGAAAGTATGAGATCTCCAGTATTTCAAACGATTACTTCCTGAAGATTACCACGCCTACTATAACAATTTACCTCATCATTGAATAATATGTATCATACTTTCTGGCATTATTGAGTTCCTACTTAAATTATCTTATATGTGGTCGTTGTACTATTAATTTGAAAGAGGAATACTTCACGTATAGTTACTACTATATGTAGGATTTGCCCCTTAGACTAAGAGTTAAAGATATATTTAGTTTTTTGCCTCTACAGTAAAATATGTTTTTTGGTCGTTAGCAGGTTTACACTCTAAGGCGACGTTATGTTAAATCAGCTGAATTATCTGACGACGTTACCTGGAATTACGCTACTAAAATTTCCATTGAAAAAGTTTTGTTATTATTATTCTTGAAAGAATTTTTAACGGGAAGAAAACGTGCATTTTATGTGGAACGTACTTTTTATTTTAACATCACCGCCACCAGTGGTTTAAATTTTTGCTAATCTATGTCCTACTACGTTTCAACAAAACGTGCCCAATGTGAAACAAATCAGAGCATAAATACGGGTTTTCAAACTTTCTCGACCCTGGCGCAACCTAACGAGACCATTTTTGGCAAAAATGTTTCTGTTTACATAAATAGCCAGTATACATTATAATAAAAAAAAAAAACTTTTTAATATACAACGCTTTTATAAATGGACTAAAAAGTAGAAAATAATATTTCTCAGTCCCACAGAATTTTTGATTTTGAAATTTTAGCAAAAGTCATTATAAACAATTAATGACATTGAAAACGAAAAACGTGGAGCGCATGCAGTACAAAGCATTCGATTTCATTGACAATAGTCAAACTACATAACATTCTACAGCGAAAGTACAAATTTGAGATCGATTTTAAGCGGTCGATATTCATATGCCCACATACATACGTATGTTACTTTTCATATCAATTCAAGTGTATTACATGCGCCCCACGCTTTTCATTTTCACTGTCATTAATTGTTTATAATGACTTTTGCTAAAATTTCAAAATCAAAAGTTATCAAAACAAATTCTGTGGGATTGAGAAATATTATTTTATACTTTTTAGTCCATTTATAAAAGCGTTGTATATTAAAAAGTATTTTTTTTATTTTATTTATTTTCTACTTTTTAGTCTTGTCTGTACAAAATTTTGCAATAGATATTAAAATAATTCAACTTGCACATACATATGTACATACATACATATAGCAGCAGTTTATTTCATTTAAAGAAATGGCGTGTCGGCCATTTCCGCTGTAGCGTGTGTAGTGCATATTTTTAACTTCTTCTGGCGAGGCGACATCTATCTCTAGAGTTTTTCTAAATGTATGTCTTTGATATGATACCTACAACGAGGTTGATATCTAGACTAGGTTGATGTCTAGAATTTGCCATAAATAGCTTTGCTACATTTATAGTAGGTGCATTCTTTTGCAACCGAGCTACAAAAGAACACTCGCTTAAATGACGAAATACATGCAAAGCAACAACACAAACTCGGCTATTTATCCGAGCTCAGCCAGGTCGGTTAAAAAATACGCGACCTGAAGGCTAGTGTTGGTAAGTGAAAAAACTGCTCTATTGTGAATTGTTAATGGGAAAGTGGAGAGGGAAATTTTTGTTGTGACTTATATTTAAAAAAAGTATATATATTGCGCAAATACCTCGCATAATTACTCATTTAAATAGGTTTTTGTATCTAAATCCCGTTAAACTAATCACATTTTCTTGCCAGCTAGCAACAGGGTTGTTTAAGTAGCTAAAAGCAAATTTTACCCGAGCTGAGCGTTCTTTTGTCGCTCGCTTACAAAAAAATGCAGCTGGTATAAATGGTGGTCTGGACATACAACATTCAAAGCGGTCTGGACATACAACATTGCAAGTAGATAAAAGCGTTGTAAAATAATAATATATCTCAGTCCCATAGAATTTGTTTTGATAACTTTTGATTTTGAAATTTTAGCAAAAGTCATTATAAACAATTTATGACATTCAAAACGAAAAACGTGGAGCGCATGCAAAACAAAGCATTAGATTTAATTGACAATATTCAAACTACATACATAACATAGACCTAAAATTTCTACAGCGAAAGTACAAATTTGAGATCGATTTTAAGCGGTCGTTATTAATTTACCCACATACATACATATATTACTCTTCAATTTCAAATCAGACCTATTACATGCGCCCAACGCTTTTCATTGTCAATCTCATAAATTGTTTATAATGACTTTTGCTAAGATTTCAAACTCAAAAGTTATCAAAACAAGTTCTATGGGACTGAGAAATATTATTTTCTAATTTTAGTCCTTTTATAAAAGCGTGGTACATTAAAAAGTATTTTTTTAAATTTACTTTATACTTTTTAATCTTGTCTGTATAAAATTTTGCAATAGATACTAACATAATTCAACTTGCAGTGAAAAGAGAACAGAAGACTGCAAGCAGAATGTTGTTTGCTCCCATTTACAGGCCTATTCTGCTTGTAACCGAACATTTTGTAACAAGCTAATTTTGTTACCAACAATTGTCACCACTTCTTGTAACCGCAATTCTATTTACCTTGGTAACGTTTTAATTTGTTCAGCAATTCAGCTATGGAGTTTTGTGTAAATTCTGGTGTTGCATATTTCACGGGGCAATATTTTGTTACCTGCTCATGAGATGGTAACAAAATTAACCGGTTACAAGAGTGTGGAGAATACGAAAAGGGTTTAAAAATTGACAGTAACTTTACTAACCGGTAACAAAATTTTTGTTACCAACGCAGAATAGGCCTGTTAGAATATGCCTACATATGTACATACATACATATAGCAGCAATTAATTTCATTTAAAGAAATGGCGTGTCGTCCATTTCCGCTGTAGCGTATGTAGTGCATATTTTTAACTTCTTCTGGCAAGGCGACATCTATCTCTAGAGTTTTTCTAATGTTATGTCTTTGCTATGATACCTACGACGAGGTTGATATCTAGACTAGGTTTGCCATAAATACCTTTGCTATATTTATAGTATGGTGGTCTGGACATACAACATTGCAAGTTGATAAAAGCGTTGTAAAAAGTAGCCAAATCGGACTATAAATAAGTTAGATATAGGACTTTTATTTTATTTTTTATGCGGTATACTTTTCGCTTGATTAGCCCATATAATATAAGCATAAATACGGCTTTTCAAATATCTCGACTCTGGCGCAATCTAACGAGATCATTTTTGGCAAAATTGGACTATAAATGAGTTAGATATAGGACTTTTTATTTTTTTACGCGGTATAATTTTCGCTGGATTAGCCCATATTTAACTTTAAATGTTTACTAACTGTTTTTTCAGCGCCGATTTTCTCTTGAATACAAAAATAAATTATTTAGTGTGCTCGTAACAGCATGACATACATGATATGCATGATGACTTTATAATTGGAAGATTATTTGTTCGATCCATATCTTTCTTTTAACGATGTTATGCTAATTCTACGGAAAATGCATTATCTTTATATAAAATATACTCTAAAGCTTGGCGGGTCATTAAATTTTAATCAATTTCAAAATAAAAAAATATGGATCTCTTAATTTTCGCAATTCTTCAGATCTGGGGGTGGACGAAAAAAAATACCACCCTAGCGTCCACACATTTGAATGTGTGTACAAATACCATCAATCAAACTCATTGTATGTATCATCAAAAATAAATTCCTCCCATAAGAAATTAGCTATGCGCATCAAACTTTACCGAAGATGTTGTATGATATTTCATAATACTTATTTTAATGTGTTTGAGCATTTAATCTTAAAGTTACCAGATGAGATCGGAAGTTACCACATTACCTAAGAGAAAAAAGTTAAAATTTTTGGTAAAATCTTAGCAAAGTGGCAACCGTGTGTTGAACTCAATTTGAATGCTATGCGATCCACAGGTACATTTTCTCTTTCACTATGTGGTAAAAACCAACATCAGTGACATGATTTAGAAGTGAAACACAAGCAATAAAATTTTGTAATATGTTGGCATTTCGTTGTTCATTGGAGTCAGGCTATTAATTATTTTGCTTCATGTCCAAGGTTAGGAAATTCAGTTAACATTTGAACAAAATTTTAAATCAGTTTCTATTGCTTCAAAGTGAAAAAAAAACGAAAGACTTAAGCAACGAACCACAAAGTAGCTGCATACATGCATACATACATACATATATTCGCATTTGCGTCAATGTCGAATTTTCTCCAAATGAAACCGGTTTAAGCAAGAATTATGAATAACTTTTTGCTTTGTTTAATTTTCATTTTGCCCTTTTGTGCATTGGTAAAATTGGAATATGCATTTAACGAGCCCAAATACAAGTGCCCGACAAAGTAAGTGCATAAAACCGCTTTTGAATAAATATTTATGTGTCCATTTGTACATATGTGAAATCAAATAATGTTATCTGTTTGGCAAGGGCTCTAGTCATATACCCATGCACTTGCTGGAGAAACTCTGATGCGGGTATCTATGTGAAATGTGAAAACTCAAACTTAGCGACACTCTCGGTTGCGCTTGAAAACCTTGGAGCTTTAGGCACACCAGTGGAGCATTTGGAAATTGTTAAAGGACATTTTGGTAAATTAAAAACTTTACAAACTCCTCTATGTATGAACATGCTAACATAAGCGGGGTTCTTTTCAGTACGTCTATACGGGCCAGTGTTTTCTAAAGTAAGCCCAAGATTACTTACCATTACTGATACGCCAATCGCAACAATTGAGAACTTTCCCTTTTTTGGTGTAAACAAAACTATAGAGGAACTGCGTATTGTACACAGCAATCTATCATCGTTTACACCGCTGTCATTTGGGGTGATATCTTGACATCTTTGATAAAAGCTTACATAAATAATCTTATATTTACAGATATTAGGAAATGCAAAGGAACTTGTTATTGACGGCCATTCATTGAAAAATGTCAATAAAAACATTTTTGAGAATCAAAATATTGGAAACAAGTTGGAAGTTCTGAGAATTATTAACGGGCCACTAAATGATGTTCCAATTGAAGCGTTTCAGGTATGTAGAAAGAAAGAAATATATTCGGACGCAATTAAGTATATATCGCAAAATTTTTTTATACTTAAGTATGTTGTGTATGACCCCGTATTTCTCGGACTAAAATTATTAGAACTGTCGACTTCTGACAACAACACGAACATTTAATTTTGTTTATACTTACAAAATTTTGCAAATTGTGTATGTAAATATGCTCAGCTTTTTTTGTTTGCAATTTGTTTGTCCAACATACTACAGCATATAACTAAAGCAGGTACTTTCCGACAACGAAAATACCTCAATTCCTCTCTCAAATCTGTTACTAGGGTCGTCTTTAACTAATATTTGGTAAAAATGGAAAGTCCGGACTCGTACTTTCTTATAGCTATAACTGCCAATTGTGTCTCATATTAAGAGAATTTATCTATTTGCAACTTTACTTTTTTCCACTTTGATTCTGCTCAGTGATCGGACGTCTACCACATTGTGGTAGATCTGCCACTTTTTTGAGCATCTACCACACAAGGTCTGAAATCTACTACATATTCGCGTTTTGGAGTAGTTTTATTTTTGCTCGACATGATTTTCTTAATTTTAAGAGCAAAAATTGTCCAACACTAAACATTAACAACAAGAGCAAATGTAAGGATAAAATAATCTGTAAAATAGTAAATTTTTTCAATAACGAATTTTTCGACAGGATACGTGGTTTTATTGTGTTAAATTGCAAAATGTATGATTTATAACAAGTGTTCAAAACCGGCGATTTTTGTGAAAGTATTAGCAAATTTCAGTGCATCTAAAGATTCTAAAGCGTGGTTTACTTTTCCTTGAGAATTGTCAAAATCGGCAAATCCCAAGTAGCGGTTTCTGGAACGTGCAGCACTCCGGAAGGTTCCAGAAATCTCTCAAAATATGTTCGAAAGTTATCTTGATATGGAAGAAACTGCTTTACACTGTCAAGAAAAGATATTGCCAAAACTCAACGCAATTTTTAGCAATTTCAATCTAGCACTTTATTATACTAAAATAATTTTTTTTTAGATTCTAATTAAAATGTTTGCAACTTAGGTGAAACCTTGCAGGATTTTTTTTAATGTTTGTACAAAGTTTGATCCAAAACCTGAGATCTACCCGAGTTTTTTGAAATCTACCACATTTTTTCCAGATTCTACCACAATTTTTTTTTTAGGCCGATCACTGATTCAGCTCTTGACTAAAGTAGGCAAAAAATTTAAGGTTTTACCTTTTCATTATTTTCACAATTAAATTGTATACTTACATGTATCAGGTGTGCTCAAATAGTACGGAGACTTTTAAATTTTCTCGGGTTGGTACATTTGTCCCGAACGTACTTTCAGAGCTTCAAGTGTATAGCATTATTTGTTTGTTTGGGAGATGCATAAAGGTTAGAAGTTTTTCTCGAGTTTTTTTATGATAAAATGATGGACTTCCAGCAAAGGAACCTAAAATATTGGTATCTATGTACATTGTACATACATAGCAGTGATGGGAGAAATTGTATTTACTAAGTATTTTGGATGTTACTAAATACCGCTCATTACTCATTCAAAGCGCTCATTACAGGTCTATTCTGCGCTGGTAATAAAAAGTTTGTAACCGGTAAATAAAGTTCCTGTCAATTTTTAAACCCTTTTCGCATTCTGTGTACTCTTGTAACCGGTAAATTTTGTTACCATCTCATAAGCTGGTAACAAAGTATTGCCCCGTGAAATATGCAATGCCAGAATTTGCACAATTCTTCATAGCTGAATCGCTGAATATTTTAACTGCATTACCAACGTTCCTAGAATCGCGGTGACAAGAACTGGTAACATTTTTTGGTAATAAAATTTCCCGGTTACAAAATCTTCGGTAACGCGCAGAATAGACCTGTTAGTGTAAAAGTATGAAGTTAGTTTCACTTCAAGGACGGCTTCCTATACAAATTTTTTTTTCCAATGCCCTCCTTTACTTTTTGTTGTACCTGCTACAAGCGTCTTTATTTTTGCATTCCACTATTATTCCCCCACTATTTATTTCTTTCACTTTCATTACAAGGCCGTCCGTAGGCTCTACTACTTTTTTTAGTGCATCCTTTGTTTCCTTAGCTTTTTTGCTTTTATTTTTCAGTTTAATAACAATTTTACTTGCGCTCTCCGTAACCTTGGTAACTTGAGCATATGTCATTTTCGTATTAACATTATCATTAGCTACGCGTAAATCCTTTAGCAACTCATTACTCTTTTGGAATTCTTTAGACACATCACTTATGATCTAATTTTTCATAGCGATCATTTTTACCTCAATATTATGCTCCAAAAATGAGTTGAAATCTGCTACTTTTTATCTGCGAACATTTATTACTAAATATTTGCTCAACTATCTGTTTCACATCAGAAGCTTTCATTTTTGATTGTTCACATTTATTGATTAAATGTTTAATCGCAATAAATTTCGTATTTGTGTCTGACAACGCGCATTGATTACAGAACCATTTCAAATTAATATTTTCTGTTATTATTTTTATCTCATGTCTCTTTATGTTACTGCATTTCAAACAAAAATTATAACCACACCCACCAGAGCATGATATCATTTCGTCTACTTAAAGCAGTTTCGCAGTACACTCTTTACATTCTGCCGGCATCATGTACAATTTACCATAAGGAGTATGGCAAAAATATACACCCGCAAAAGTAAAAACTACGCAACAATAAAATAAATAAATTAAAATTAAAATATCCTAATTAATCCCCGCGTGATGGCAGCACTGTTAAGTAAGGTTATCACTTAACTTATGCCTTCGCTTTGACTGCTTTTACACAGTTCAAGTATTGAATTCAATTCTGCTCGCATGTGGAAGAGAGGGGGTGAGAAGAAAGGGGACGAGTACACGCATCTGTACCGTCAAGTCGTTTCAACTTTCTTGCTTTGCTTTTGGCATTTTCGTTGCTTCCCATTTAAAGAACCAAAAACTTGAATTCAACAGAATTGAAACGTGTAAAAGCAAATAGAAAACACAAAAGAGAATGAGCAAGAATTGCTTTCAAGTACTTGAATCATGTAAATCGGGTGTTTCTTTGTTTTGCCTTTCAGCAATAAATCACTGTGGTACTCACAGAGAACGATTATCCGGCGCGCAGTCACCGGCAGAAAAATCACCAGGGCAGAGTAGCAATAGCGACAGCGAAGCTCTGCAGGTAGATAAATCCCTTTAGAACAGCCACCTGCAAGGCAACAGCTATCCACAATCGCGTCGGCTCGTTGTGTTCAATTGTACTCAGCGTATAAGCAGCCGCTTGTTGATGTTTACTTAAGAGCGAAATACACCACACAAGCGGTTTGACAAACCAAGCGAAATTTCCCTTTGCTTCAAGCCATTTGTGCTGTGTATGGGGGTGTTTGAAGGTTTGACAAACCGCTTGAGGGAAATTTGAGCAAAAATCAAAATTTTTTGATTTTCTGGCCGCCATGTTGATGTTTGATCAAACCGCTTGCGTTGTGTATAGCAAAATCGCCTCATTCGCAACGAAATTTTCACCGAGTAAGGACGTAAGAGAGGAAAATGAAAGAAAACCATAATATTTAGCATTGCGAACTCGAAGAAAACTAAAATTCTTTGCTTGAACGAGTCATGTTTGCATGGTGTATGGCGAAATGGGAAAAGTAGGTTTGAAGAATGTTTGACAAGCCGCTTGTGTGGTGTATTTCGCTCTTTACCCTACAAGAAAAGGACATTTTAGACTGACCGATTCTCAATACACTCAAACAAAAACCAATACACATAAAAAACGCTGTAAAAATTTCCCCACAATTTTAAGGCAGTAAAAAAGAGACCTTAAGTTGACATCAATCGAGGCCATATGATGAAAAGGGATGCAAGATCACATGTACACAAAAGAACTGATCAGATTTTTCAGAAATCTCTGCAATTCTGACGTAAAATATGATCCCAAGAGGCTGCAGATCTCCCAGTCAGATGACCAGTCATATGACCGGAGATGTCTTGTAGGGTAACTAACGACCGCTCAGCAGCGCAGCGGCTGCGCCAGTAGCAGCGAAGCAAGCCTGGATTTGGCAAAGCAGGCCACCCTACAAGAAACGGACATTTTAGACTGACCGATTCTCAATACACTCAAACAAAAACCAATACACATAAAAAACGCTGTGAAAATTTCCCCACAATTTTAAGGCAGTAAAAAAGAGACCTTAAGTTGACATCAATCGAGGCCATATGATGAAAAGGGATGCAAGATCACATGTACACAAAAGAACTGGTCAGATTTTTCAGAAATCCCTGCAATTCTGACGTAAAATATGATTCCAAAAGGCTGCAGATCTCCCGGTCAGATGACCAGTCATATGACCGGCAGATGTCTTGTAGGGCAGTTGCTGGAATTCCTAGCTCTCCTTCCTTCAGTGCTTCTTTGTCTGCTTCGGTAGACTATTTTGCTGCTTATTTGCGTTTTGGAGGAACGTTTATTTGCGTTTCGAACGTTTAATATTTACTTTTTCAATTAATAAAACGCGAGCAAAATCTATGCGACCGTTCCGTTTGACGATTTCTACAAAAATCCAGTCATATGTGATGAGTTTAAAATAAACAAATCAACCGTTATCAGAATTAGTCAAAATGAAAGCAAAAGTAAAGATAAAAAGTATAGAAGCCGGACTTGGGAAACGGCAAACTTTAAACAATGCGAGTACCCAAAAAGGATTTACACAAATCGGAGAAAGTATAATGTTCCCATATCTGTCTAATTTGTAAAAGCCAAAGTCATAAAGTTAAATAAAAATACCCAACTGAATCTTTTGTCAGACAAGACATACATTTCTGATGAGCCTGGTCCATTCCTCGCTTGAGCAAATGCATCAAGGATGCACAAAGTTCTTCTTCTTATTTGGCGCTATAACCGCCTAAGTGTTTTTTGGCTGAGTCCAAAGCAGTATGTCAGTCGTTTCTCTTCTGTGCCAAACTGACGCCTATTGTAAATGCCAAGTGAAGCCAAGTCCTTCTC